GGGGGGTGGGGGGGTCCAGGCAGGCCGTCGGCTGGGAAAGTTGGCCGCTCCGGTAGCGATCGCCGGCAGCCTGCAAGCGCGGACCGTCTCCGGCGGCTGCTCTGAAATGTCCATTTAAAAAGAAAGGCAATCACGCATAATAGCGGCTCTGAAGGGGCCAGCATGAAACTCTGAGCTGTGTTTATACACGTCAACGCAACGTCTTTGCCGATTTTACAGATTCTTAATATTCCCGGATTCTTTTCTTTTTCTAAATCAAATCTGACGCTTCATCAGAATACATTCTGCTTTAGTGAAATCAGCTCCCTCGGATTTCATCGCTTGTTAAAAAAAGATAAACTTTATTTTTTGTCATTTTCAATCACAAAAAAATCTATATTCTTGTCTAAGCATGTATTTTACTGAATCAAAAAGACATGAAAAGGAAAATCATATTTTACTAACGTATATAAGTGACTCTTTTTTTGGACAACATATAATAAATATGATATATCACTTATCACTCGGTCTTTCCAATGTACACTTTTTTTTCCATATTATGGAGCATGCCACTTTTCCAAAAGAAAAAAGGTCATGAGAAATCAGTGCAAAGTTCTCAGTCACCCTCCTCTTTTCTCTGGGGCAGACGGAGTGTCCACGGCGACGCCCTCTGCCTCGGGCCGTCTGTCTGTCTGCAGGTCTCGCCCTTGCAGTTCCCTCTCCGCGCCCTTCTCGCTTCTCTCCTTGCCCCTCCCCCACCCTCCCCCTGATCCCTAAAGTCATTTTTTTAGAAAAAAAAGAACTTGAGGTTTCGTTTTTTGTTGATGTTTTCACTTACTGGTCGAACTTTGTGTGGGGTCAGCGTTCTCTCCAGTCACGCTGCTGTGGGAGCTCTCCAGCCCCGTCCCTGGGGGTGGGGAGAGGGGCGCGGGGGCTGGCTCCTGGGGGGCCCCGCCCCTGGCTGAGTGTCTTCCTCTCTCGCTCGGCTTCCCGGGGCAGCTGCCGGGGAGGCCCTGGGCCGGTGCGGGGAGAGGAAGCGCAGCCTTCCGACTAGGGGAGGAGGCGAGGGAGGGACTGCCGCACCGCCTCTGTTCCCCTTCCTCACCGGGGGTGCGGGGTGCCGGGCATGGGGTTGGACAGAGGGTTGAGAGCCAGCTGGCCCCCGGGCCCCAGGCCGTGG